ATTTTTCTGTTGATCAATTCCGGTCCTTTTTTTTTGGCTTTTAGATAAATACTAATCCAATACAGCCTATAATAGTCCACTGCTGAACTTAGGCCTCCTCTAAAGATTACCTCATATTTGCTTCAGTTTCCGTGCTTAGCAGGACCGGTTAGCAACCGTAGTTTTTTATTTTTTGAGTATATATCGAGAATATACTGCCGCCTATCTCCTGCTTCAGGGTTCGTCTGCCGCCTCTTACGACACTCGCGGCACAATATGGAGTAATCGATATTCTTACACTACCATACACGGTACAATTTCACTACGAGCTCGTAATAAAGAAGCAATCGAGCGGAACCAGGGCTCTACAATTTTCACTAGATATCTATCTTTTTGCCGGAAAAAGCCAACTGTCTAAGTTTAAGATCAACATTGGCATTGTAATTTCTGAGTGATCTAAAACAGGACCTCTCTAATTTAACATTTAGGTTCAATTTGCCTCTAATCATTCGGTGATCACTGCCAGTTCTCACCCTCACGATCACTGAGACATCACTGAACAGTTGCCGTCTAGTCATCATAATGAAGTCAATCTTGTTTTTTTCCAACCATGACCATGGCGCATGACCAGGTCCACTTCCTGCCCGGGGCCGCTTCTAGAAGAAAGAGTTCATTATAAAGTGTCCCTCTTTCTCCATGAAGTCGGCCAACTGATGGCCCCTAGAGTGCCGTTGTCCTATGCCAAATTTTCCTACCTTCAGCTCACCGCTTTCTCTTGTGCCTAGTTTTGCGTTGAAATTTCCTATCAACGCCGTATGGTATGTTTTGGAGGAATGCATGGCTCTAGAAATATCCTCATACATTTTTTACACCTCCTCATCGGGATGTGCCGAGGTTGGTGCGTAAACCTGTATGACATTCAGCGAATACCGCTTGGTGATTCTGAGTATAAGGTACGCAACGCTCATCGACACACTCCCAATCTTTACAACGTTGCTAACGCGAGACTTGTAGACGATAAGTCCGACACCTCCTTGGGACAGATAGCCGCCCTTCCGGTGATAGAACAAGTTTCCGGATTCGAGGATTACCGTGTCCTTCCCCTCTCTTCGGACCTCGGATAATCCTGTAATATGCCTCTTCTTCCAGCTCCAGAATCTTCTGATCATCCCTTAGGGTGCGTGGGTTATATGTTGCCAGATCGAGTTGTCTTAGGTGGCAACCAAACCTTCACCGAAGATTCTAAGCACCCCCTGCCACGCCGTTAGGCTGTTAGGGGACTGGGGCCGTTTCTTTGTGTCATTGCTCATGGGGGGATGTTTGCAATAGTTTGCTAGTCTACGCTAGGCGAGTGAGTTGCCGATCGCAGTTTTTTTTATTTTATAATTGCTGTTATTAAGAAGATGCTGGTGCCCATCTCCTGCCTGTCTTTCTCTGTCGCTTTTTACGATACCCATGGGAATATATGGTGATAGTGGATATTCTCAAACGCCACTAGACGGCGAACACGATCATGATTCACTTTTTCAAGAATGGCATCGACTTTATCCGTATGAGGGCCACCGGAGCGAGCTGACCTTAGACATTAAAATTCTCGGACTGAAAACTCTTGAACTAACTTTGTGATACCTGATACCTGATAATGCATAGGGTCCATAAACGTCACTTTTTCGCTTTTTTCCCTTTTTTGTAATTGTAATTTCTAAAACTTCAGAATATATCGAGTTTCTTCGTTAGATTCACTTTGCGGACAGAAAAACAATTGAAAATGGCGCTAAAGTGTTTTTTACTTTTTCTTTTTCTTAATGGCCTAAATTTATTGATATGAAAAAACCAGCCTTGAATAAAACAAACAAACGAAGGAATTTTTCCATGACCTTTTACGTATTGTAAAAGAAAAAACGTTTAAGTTATATAAATAAATTAGTATTCAAGGTTTTCTATACAATCAATCTTGATATAACAATACCAGGGAATGATTTAAACTTTGGTGACGCCTACAATACTAAAGATCCTGACTCCTCATGAGTTATTAGTTGATGCAGTGATATATAGATACGGGGCCTCGGCTACCAACACCCACTTTCCATCGCTTACCGTTTCGGGGTTATTTTTTGTAGAAAAATTATGAACACCTCTCTGCCACTCGTGTGACGCAGAGGTTATGTCAGACTCTCATCGAGGAAAGACCTGGAGGTCTTCATACCTTATTCGTGTTTGGTATACGCGGGATCACCACGCACGAAATTTTCAAGGCCTCGAGGTTAGGTATGTCTCATTTCTGAAAGGGTTTGGAGCATGAAATCGTCCCATGTGTTGCACCAATGAATATTGGCGGACTTTACATTTCCTTGAAATATTTTTATATTCTATAGACACCTAGATTTCCAGACGATATTTACCTTGATTTTTAAAATCTTAAATTATTTTATAAGAAGCAAAATTAATTTTAACGACGCTTAAAACTGTGCGAGTGGATTTTTTAAAGTGAAATATGACCAAATGTTCCGTTCTCCGTATTTCAACTGCATAACATAAATTCCAAATTCCATTCCGAAAAGCAAGAGCGTTTTTTGAACACTAAGTATAATATCATATTATGATATTAAGCAACGAAATTTTATAAACTCTAATACTGTACTTCAATAAAACTTCTTTTGAAAGGAAGAAAACAATCGCGAGACTAATTAACAAAAGAATAACAAAATCTCTTCATGCAAATTGATTAATAAATTAATACTTATTCTATTAATTACACTGCGTTACATTGTGGAAATTAATTATATTAATGATGTTAAAAATTAATTATCTAATAAATTTAAGCAAAATAAAATAAAATGACTAGGTTAAGGCACATAATTTTATACTATTGCGCGGATCGTGGCGAGTAAATTTTTAACATTTCTAAAATTAACTTTTTTTTATTTGGTTCAGCAACAAACGCTACACCTATACTTACACCAATTTCTAATACAATAATATGAACAAAGGCACATTTAATACTTATTAGATAAACGCCGCATACCTAGAGCTCACATTTCTTACAAATTTAAAGTTATTAGATATACACAAATATACTATAGATATAACTAAAAAAGATACTTGAAAATACTTGAAAAATTACTACAGAGAAAAATCAAACAATTTATGAATTTTGTGTCGAATAACATTAAAAGTCATGGTAAATAGCTACCACATTATTATATGTACATTTCTACGAAGGGACGACGAAAGTGGAATACCTAATGAGTTTTCGACGATATTGAATCGGAGTACGAAAATTAAATTTACGTAGTAATATAGAGCAATCTAAGTATTTGAATGAAATATTTGATATTTTATATTATGAATATTTTATTTAACAGTTGTAAAAGCAAAATATTACATCGTTTTGACAGCGAAATCGTTATTTCAGTCCTACGGCTAAGTAAGGGCTTTTCTTTCAATCATTACAGTCGACCAAAAGTCCACTGATAAACATATAAGCTTAAGACTGCCTCACAGTTGTATATTTTGCCACAGTCAGGGCTGCCAGGTGCAAAAATGGTGTGATCGTACGACAACTAAAAAAAAATCGTATGCCAAGGAAATTTAGAAATGAAAAGATCGTACAACTTATAAGTACAAAGTTTTTATTAGAAATAACAAATAATCGTTTAGTTTTAGAAAATAAATGCAATAAAAGAAATAAAGAAATAAAACATATTTATTTGGCAGATGCCTTAGGTATACAACCTACACAACAAAACAAAAAAAAAGATTAAAATAAAAACTTAAAACTACACAATTAAAAAAAACTATTTATTAGAATTATACAAATTTTCTGTGGTCATAATGTTTAACATTTCTTTTGTTGGCTTAAACTTCGTACAATTTTCGTTTCTTCTTATTAATTGTTTGGCTAATAATGTTCCCTTTAGATACTGTTTCTAAGTTTTGTTATTATGAAGTTGAGATGAATGCTCTTTCACAATCTGCACTAGAATGGGGCAAACATAACAAATTTAAGGTAAATTGAGTCAGTGTTTTATAATTCTCAAATTGTTTTTTGATAATGCCCCAAAACTCGTCGGTATTCAAAGATAAATCAATTTTATCTAAAATGTTGGGAAAACTGCGCCATTCGTCATCTATTGCCTGCATCATTTGAATGTCGTCGGGTTTTACGATTCTTGGAACAAGTATCATAAGCGGCTGTAAGGTAGGTACTTTATTCCTGTAATTACAAGCAGCAGCATTGGTAGGTTCAATACAGTCTATTTTTGATAGAATGGGATCATCTAGGTTATATCTTTTTTTTAATTTCTTTAGCGCTTGTGACTAGAAAATGCCGACAACGATGAAAAAACTCCTTAGTGGCAGGAATCTGACGACGAAATTCAGGCTGTGTAATTTTGTTCATCACTCGGATTCCCAAATAAATTTGATCATCTTTTAACCATTTTTCTTGTCGTTCAATATCAATGGTAGAAAGCTCAGTTTTGTTGACATAATCGCGATCCAAAATACATAGCAAAATTTCTTTATACATTTCGCGCACCTTTTCGTTTAAACTTGTAATCACTACTTTTTCCGATTGAAAAAGTTTATTGAAATTGGTAAATTTGGGCAATATCCAAGACAGGAACAGGTAATAAAGCTGCATGAATGGATCATTTAAGCTATTAAATATCAGTTCTGTTGAAACAAGACGTTCATTCAACCAGCAGTCAGTAAAAAACAATTTTAATGCATCCCATTATTCTAATAATCGATCTACAACCACCACCAATGACAACCAACGGGTTTGTGAAGGGTGCAAAATCTTGTGAGGCGAAGCACTCACAAATTCTTGAAACTGTTGAAGGCGAAATTGTCTTTTTGAACTATTTTTGATAAAACTATATATCTCTCTCGCTAAATCTTCGCAGCGCCTTGGTAATTGTTTGCACGATTCAGATGCGCAAAGGTGTGCAGTGTGGCAAACACATTTCATTACAAACATACCTGGCAAATTTTTCTTGAGTCTGCTCGCCACTGAGTTATTCCCACCCATCATCACGTTGCAACCGTCTGCACCAAAACCTATTTTTTTCAAAATCATATTTTTTTGTCGATATATCCCGGTCAGAAAAAGACTTCATCAGTATGTTAAACAAATTTTCCCCAGTAGCACCTTCTTCTGCTGTTTTTTCATGATCAGAGCTAAATATTTTGCAAAGATCCCAAAACTTACTCACAATTTTATTTTCCTCAACGTCATAATATCTAACAATTATACAACTGGCCTTGTGAGTGCTGACATCTGTTGACTCGTCAGGCATAACACTGAATTTCTCAGTTTTCAGTTTTTCGGCTAGAGACGATTTTTCACTTTCACCAATTACTTCGGTGATTACAGCTGTAGCTTTTGTCCTTTTCATAGCAATTTTATGTTCCACTCCAAAATCTTCCAATATACCATTTATTAAATCTGACATATGATCTGCAGTTTGGAATGCAATATTATGCTCAACTAGAAAACCCGCCAGCTTGATTTCAGTCGCTGTGACAACTTTATTTTTCGACATAACTCCTTTCGTAACAAATGCGGACATGATATTACGCTGTTTTGTTTTGCTTGGTATTGCAGACATGGCTTTCGTATGCTTTTGCCTTGAAGAATGTAATTTTAATACTCCATATTCTGAAACCATTTCGACGTCACATACAGTGCACCTGGCTTTAAATTGGTTTTTACCAGGTCCTAACCAGTCCTTAAAAAAGTCTAGTTTTTCCCAATCAGGACGATACTTCTATGCTCTGTGTTTATCCCTCTGCTACATAAAGCTCTCCTCTTTTAGCCAATTTCTTTTTTGGAGTACCTGGCGAAAGTCGCTCGTCTTCACTTTTGTCACACATTCTTGCTTTACCAAAAACCACAAACACAAAAAAGCACTGAAGACAGTATACAGATTCAAAGAGCATATATAAACTACGTATGCAAGATGATGTTGTGACCAGGATTAAGAAAGGAATGCTTCGGTGGTTTGGTCATGTGGAAAGAATGAATGAGGAAAGAGTGACAAAGAAAATTTATGTTGCAGAAGTGAATGGCAGAGTCGGAAAGGGACGTCCTAGGCGAAAATTTATCGACCAAATTGGCGATTTATTGAAAACGGGCCAAATTAGGAGTACCCTTAACCGACGAGCATGTATGCGGAGGTGTATGGATGTGAAGGAGGCGAGAGAGGTGTGTCAGGATCGTGCCAAATGGAAGTCTGTAGTCTCTGCCTACCCCTCTGGGTGACAGGCGTGAGTGTTTATGTTTATGTTATGTTTATAAACTACGTACAGTTCGAATGAGACTAACAAGAAAAAAAGAGTTTTTAAGAAATCGCAATTATTACCGAAAGAAAAAAATAATAAGTTTCGAAAAAATGCGAAAAAATACAGCCTTTAAATGACTCTACAAAGAGTCTTCATTCAGGTAAAAGATCTACGTACGCGTTAGGTTGTTGGGGAATTCCCCGAAACTCATACTTCCCAGTTGAGCACGTTCAATTCATTATGAAATGTTGCCAGATTTGCCAGGTATATAAAAATCGTACATTTTCCGTACGATCTTGGTCTAGCGATAGTACCTGAGTAAAAATGCCAAAAAATCGTACGAGTACGATTAAAATCGTACATCTGGCAGCCCTGGCCACAGTTGTCGTGATTGGCATTCGAATTGGCAACCGCAATTTTTTTCCAGTTGATATCTTTCTTCCGAAGCAATTATGCAGAAATCATTTTGTTCTTTTTAGTTCTTTGAAAGTTGGCTTTTACTTAAAATTACAATTTTTTGACCATTTTGGGTGGAGTCAGTAATATCAAAAGCTCGAATGTTGTGTAAATAGTTACATTAAAAGCCGTATTCCCCATTTAGATATTTATCATAAGTAGGTTAAATAATAGTATACTTAAGCAGCCCCAGCGGTGAAACGATACAAGAAAACGTGACTTTTTTTTAATAATAGTTTTTTTTAAATAAAATATTTAGAATATAAAATATAAAAGTTCTCGATTTAATTTTGAAGTTTTACTGCAAAAATATTATTAAAATCGTTACACAATTGACGAAGATATAATTGTATAAACTAGGACGTGTTGTAAAAGCGGTGCCTGAGGCGGGCTGGAAAAAGTGTTTCGCAAATAAAATCAGATGCATGAAGTTTCGTATAGACGTTGGGGATGAGTTCTTTTATAAGATTTAATAATAAAAAAATTAGCATAGAACTTTTTTCCAGTTTCGTACATTCTGAGTGGCCTGCGTATTTATACAAAGAAATTTTCGCCGTGTAGTGGCGGCGTAAGAAAATTCACTACCCCCATCGTTCTCTTGACGTATGATACGACAGCAGGAAATTTAAGCAGGAGATGAGCAGCAGTATCTTCCTGATATGAACTGGAAAAAAAATTGCGTTTGCCAATTCGAATGCCAATCACGACAACTGTGGCCAGGGCTGCCAGATGTACGATTTTAATCGTACTCGTACGATTTTTAGGCATTCTTACTCATGTACTATCGCTAGACCAAGATCGTACGGAAAATGTACGATTTTTATATACCTGGCAAATCTGGCAACATTTCATAATGAATTGAACGTGCTCAACTGGGAAGTATGAGTTTCGGGGAATTCCCCAACAACCTAACGCGTACGTAGATCTTTTACCTGAATGAAGACTCTTTGTAGAGTCATTTAAAGGCTGTATTTTTTCGCATTTTTTCGAAACTTATTATTTTTTTCTTTCGGTAATAATTGCGATTTCTTAAAAACTCTTTTTTTCTTGTTAGTCTCATTCGAACTGTACGTAGTTTATATATGCTCTTTGAATCTGTATACTGTCTTCAGTGCTTTTTTGTGTTTGTGGTTTTTGGTAAAGCAAGAATGTGTGACAAAAGTGAAGACGAGCGACTTTCGCCAGGTACTCCAAAAAAGAAATTGGCTAAAAGAGGAGAGCTTTATGTAGCAGAGGGATAAACACAGAGCATAGAAGTATCGTCCTGATTGGGAAAACTAGACTTTTTTAAGGACTGGTTAGGGCCTGGTAAAAACCAATTTAAAGCCAGGTGCACTGTATGTGACGTCGAAATGGTTTCAGAATATGGAGTTTTAAAATTACATTCTTCAAGGCAAAAGCATACGAAAGCCATGTCTGCAATACCAAGCAAAACAAAACAGCGTAATATCATGTCCGCATTTGTTACGAAAGGAGTTATGTCGAAAAATAAAGTTGTCACAGCGACTGAAATCAAGCTGGCGGGTTTTCTAGTTGAGCATAATATTGCATTCCAAACTGCAGATCATATGTCAGATTTAATAAATGGTATATTGGAAGATTTTGGAGTGGAACATAAAATTGCTATGAAAAGGACAAAAGCTACAGCTGTAATCACCGAAGTAATTGGTGAAAGTGAAAAATCGTCTCTAGACAAAAAACTGAAAACTGAGAAATTCAGTGTTATGCCTGACGAGTCAACAGATGTCAGCACTCACAAGGCCAGTTGTATAATTGTTAGATATTATGACGTTGAGGAAAATAAAATTGTGAGTAAGTTTTGGGATCTTTGCAAAATATTTAGCTCTGATGATGAAAAAACAGCAGAAGAAGGTACTACTGGGGAAAATTTGTTTAACATACTGATGAAGTCTTTTTCTGACCGGGATATATCGACAAAAAATATGATTTTGAAAAAATAGGTTTTGGTGCAGACGGTTGCAACGTGATGATGGGTGGGAATAACTCTGTGGCGAGCAGACTCAAGAAAAATTTGCCAGGTATGTTTGTAATGAAATGTGTTTGCCACTCTGCACACCTTTGCGCATCTGAATCGTGCAAACAATTACCAAGGCGCTGCGAAGATTTAGCGAGAGAGATATATAGTTTTTTCAAAAATAGTTCAAAAAGACAATTTCGCCTTCAACAGTTTCAAGAATTTGTGAGTGCTTCGCCTCACAAGATTTTGCATCCTTCACAAACCCGTTGGTTGTCATTGGTGGTGGTTGTAGATCGATTATTAGAACAATGGGATGCATTAAAATTGTTCTTTACTGACTGCTGGTTGAATGAACGTCTTGTTTCAACAGAACTGATATTTAATAGCTTAAATGATCCATTCATGCAGCTTTATTACCTGTTCCTGTCTTGGATATTGCCCAAATTTACCAATTTCAATAAACTTTTTCAATCGGAAAAAGTAGTGATTACATGTTTAAACGAAAAGGTGCGCGAAATGTATAAAGATATTTTGCTATGTATTTTGGATCGCGATTATGTCAACAAAACTGAGCTTTCTACCATTGATATTGAACGACAAGAAAAATGGTTAAAAGATGATCAAATTTATTTGGGAATCCGAGTGATGAACAAAATTACACAGCCTGAATTTCGTCGTCAGATTCCTGCCACTAAGGAGTTTTTTCATCGTTGTCGGCATTTTCTAGTCACAAGCGCTAAAGAAATTAAAAAAAGATATAACCTAGATGATCCCATTCTATCAAAAATAGACTGTATTGAACCTACCAATGCTGTTGCTTGTAATTACAGGAATAAAGTACCTACCTTACAGCCGCTTTTGATACTTGTTCCAAGAATCGTAAAACCCGACGACATTCAAATGATGCAGGCAATAGATGACGAATGGCGCAGTTTTCCCAACATTTTAGATAAAATTGATTTATCTTTGAATACCGACGAGTTTTGGGGCATTATTAAAAAACAATTTGAGAATTATAAAACACTGACTCAATTTACCTTAAATTTGTTATGTTTGCCCCATTCTAGTGCAGATTGTGAAAGAGCATTCATTCATTCATAAAAACAAAACTTAGAAACACTAAAGGGAACATTATTAGCCAAACAATTAATAAGAAGAAACGAAAATTGTACGAAGTTTAAGCCAACAAAAGAAATGTTAAACAATATGACCACAGAAAATTTGTATAATTCTAATAAATAGTTTTTTTTTTAATTGTGTAGTTTTAAGTTTTTATTTTAATCTTTTTTTTTTGTTTTTTTTTTGTGTAGGTTGTATACCTAAGGCATCTGCCAAATAAATATGTTTTATTTCTTTATTTCTTTTATTGCATTTATTTTCTAAAACTAAACGATTATTTGTTATTTCTAATAAAAACTTTGTACTTATAAGTTGTACGATCTTTTCATTTCTAAAGGGGACAATCATTTTTGGGCCCACTAAAAATATTAACGTCCACTAATGGTATTACATCAAAAAAAAGACACCAAATTATAATAGTAAATGGCCTACAGATTTTTCGAAAATGTAAACGGAATCAAGAAATACGAAAAAAAAATTAGTTGTTTTGATATTCGTGTTCTGATTAGTGTAATATGGGTAAAATGCGTGTACCTAATTAGTCATTTTGCAGCTTGTATAAAAAAGAAAACTATTTTTTCACAAAGCTGACTTAAAAAAAGATACCACTAAGAACTTTATGTTTAATTTCTAAAAATTTTAGCTAATATCACGTTATAACATAGTTCTAAATGACTGTGAACCAAAACGTTATTTTATCATTGACTTCCGGTAATTCCCAGCGGCCGGCGGCCGGGTACGGCGGGGCGGGGCGGCGGGGTATTACCTACGTCTTTAATCTTAACGGCATTGACGTTCGTTACGCTACTGTTTTTTTGTATTTATATGCGATTTTAAGAAAATGGAATCTGCTAGATCAGCATACAATGAAAATAGAAGTGTATGTTGCAATTGTGGAGTCAGGTTTCAACGCAGTGTGCGAAGACAATTACTGGCCGAGACAACTGCTGATGTGCGCCAACTTTTATCTGTGTGGATTTCTCATGAGGTAGGTATAATATTATCTCATGGAAAGCTAATCACTGCACTATACAATCTATCTACTTACATATTATCTAGATTTAAACTTTTATGAGAAATATATATTATTTTTGTTACTCTCGATTTTATTCCAACAATATTACTATACTGCGGAAACGAAAATTATATATTTTCTTTATTAATGTATTACTTAATATTTTTATTTTTGTTGAATAATATGGGATATGGTACGATTTTTTAGAAATAATACGAAAGAAAACGATCCACAGACTCCAGGCACACATAACGATCTATACATGATTAAGTACTTAATTATTTTAAGTTTTTAAAAGTAATAATAAATATCCCTTCATATTATTAATAAATTCATACCTTCTATAGCTATAATTTTAATCTTTCGTTATATTAAATTGATAAATGATATATTATATTGATTGAATTATTTTATATTTTGACACAAGATGACACTGCATTCTTTCCTGCTATTTACCAACTTACAGGCATAGTTCTTTGCATTGACTCCATTGACTGGCATTGACTGTAAAAATATAATATGGCATAAACTTGTTTGTTTAAATTGATGTAAACTGTGTTCGTGTTAAAGTAAAAGTTTAAAAATGAAAATTCACGTAGTTTTACTGCTTACAAGTGGATTAGTATGTTAATGTCTAATTGATGCAAAAAATGTTTAACCTAAGGGTTATATCATGCACGTAAGTCAAATATTAAATACCTATATCACATTTATGTATATAATTTGCCAATGACATTCGAAAATGCAAACTGACGAGTAAAAGTCCATGTGAGTAATATAAAAGTTTATTTTTTCCTCCTAGAATTTTGTAAAATCTATAACTTATACTGAATTAACCTTTAACAAATGATAAACACAGGTCTTACTAATGTGTTAAATGTTAAAGTATTGAAGTTTTATGTTATTAGTGAAATCTAATTTAAATAATAGATAAAATAAAGTCACACAATATACACAAAAGAAGTTTTTGTGGCATGGTATGATGTATCACATGTTATGTGTGTCTAATTATCTTTTGTCAGTCAATCAGAAATCAAAGTCGAAAAAGTATAGGTATATATGTGTCAATATTTATTCTAAGGATAAAATATTATGTAAATAGAAAAGTAAGTTATTTTGTGCAATGAAAAATATTTCAATCCACTGTAATATTACCGTTACAGCCAATTAAACTCCACTGCCGAACATAGGCCTCCCCCATATATTACTAATATTACACAACTCCATAATACTCTAATATTATAAAGTTTATTTATCACTATATGATATACCTGAAATACTGTAAATATTGTAAAATCATAATATATTAATCGATATTTGTCTTTTGGATTTCCAATTTTTTTTTAATTGAAAATGTATTGTATTTCAAATAATATAGGGTTCCACATCAAACATTCACTTTCATGCCAACTTCGCTTCCCTCCTCAAAATGTACATTTATCTGAACTTAATATTTATTTACTCTTTTATTTTTAATTCCTGATTTTTTCAGTTACACCCACTTGATGCAGTTTGTTGTAACTGCCTAAGAATATTGCAAGAAAGTGTTGCATCAGCTCACTCCATTAGAAGATTTGGGTACAGGAATATTTGTATTCCATGTGGATCTTCAATGTTAAGAGCACACCGTAGACGGATTGTGCCTATTAACTCTGAAGAAAGAGATATTATTTTGCAGTGGATACCATCACACCAGGTACTTACCTTATTTTAAAAGGCTGTAAATGGTCCCCTGCCTCAAATAGGCAGCCCAGAGGATTTGCCACAATCGCTTTGGTACACAGATTGATGTTTGTAAAATCAGACACCTTGCATACAATTTGGTCTGATATTTATGCTCATTCAACATGGCAGTTCACTAACAGGTTATCTTTAAATTTACAGTCTACCAAAAGTCTACTGCTGAACATAGATTGTCTTATGGGGGGGATATTTGCCATTAATAACCAATTTTTTTATTTTTAGTTATTAGATGAACGATACTTCTTCCTTATCTTACACCCATATTTGTATGCTTTTGTACTTATTATACAAGTAATATTTTTTACCTTAAAAGACATTAGTATAAATAAAACGGGTTGGGTTTACAATTCGGTCGCCTCAATTTGAAGATTCTGTTACTGTGGGGGGGCGTCAAGGTAGTTTATCTGAAGCACCTACACGCGAGTTTTGCTACCGGAGCAGCATCGAAGTATTTTTATTTATTTTTTGAAAATATTGGTAAACAACTAATTAATTAAATATTCTCACGTTTTTGACGTTTTATCTGTCAATGTCATATCGATATATAGTACTAAATCGATCTAGTGAATCGATATTTCACCCTAGAGAATCAAGATCAAATCTTTTCTGTTTTGTTAAGATTTACAAAATTATTTATAATTAGTTGAAAGTACCCCAACTCGTAAAGAATGACAGTTTTTCAATTTAATCATTCAATGTTATCTGAAACTTTAAAGAACTTGGGCTTAGTGAAATATTGTTAATAATTCTAAAATAATTACTTCTTGTCTGATATGTGATGTATTATTTATTTCTATTTAAATAAGTAGTGCCACAAAAATATTATGAGGGGAAACAATTGCATGCTAATATTTATAATTTTAAAAGACATTAAAACTATTTAGTGTTAGAAAGATTGAAATAAATAGAACAATAATAAATATTATTAATATTTAGAGTAGACACTGTAAAACTATAGTTCATTTTGTTAGTTGATAAAAAATAACTTTTTTCAGGTGGATCGTTTAGAACGAGTATGCAGTCCTTGCTGGCTGAGGGCTTCCAGAGCTGTATGGAGACAGAGACAACAAAATGAGAACAGGGATATTGAGCTACAATCCATGAATATAGAAGACATCGGTAACATCCCACAACCACCCCCTATACCTGCACCTGTAACCCCTGCCATTTCCAGAGCGGCATCAACAATTACTATGGCTAATTATAAGCGTGCTGCTTCTACTTCCCGTCACTGTATTTTTAAGTCATGTAATCATTCATCTAGATTTTTAATACCTAAACTACTTAAAGAGAGATTGCTGATAGATCACTCATTTTATGTGCCACTGTGCGCTCGTATTTGTGAATACCATTTAAATGAACCCCACAATGATTGGAATAATTTATTCACGAGTAGTAACTGTTCAGATTTTACTGCATCTCAGATAGACAACCTTTGTTCCTTACTTAAAAGTAGTGTTACTCAAAATTATAATATTTTAAATATCATTGAACATAATTCAATATTATGCAAATATTGGTTAGGATTTACCAAATACCAATTTGAACAGTTACTAGTTGAAATTCCATCTATCAGTGAAAGAGTTAAATCACCTAAAAGAAGTCTAGCTATGTTCTTAGTGAAACTTCGTACAGGTGATAGCAATGAACGCATAGCTTCTCTATTTAATGTAGTTTCATCGACTGTGTTCAATCACTTAAATATTGTAAGTCAGTGCTTTGAAGAGCAATTCATCCAACTGCATTTAGGGACAAATACCTTATGCATTCAACAAGTTGCTCAATATAACTTGACAATACCAAATGGCTTGTTTGGTAATCCAGATATGGATCCTGAATTTATGCCAGCCATAGTAATATGTGATGGTACATACATTTATGTGCAAAAAAGTAGTAATTACTTATACCAGAAGCAAACATATAGTTTACATAAGTATCGTAACTTAGTTAAGCCATTTTTAATAGTGTGCTGTAATGGTTATATCCTTGATGTTTTTGGACCATATCCTGCAACAGAATCAGATGCTTCTATAATTCTTAGACTGTTCAACGATAGTAGTCCACTGCGAACCTATTTTAGAGAAAACGATGTATTTATTCTTGATAGAGGTTTTAGGGATGCAATTCCATTCTTGCAGCAATGTGGTTATAAGGCTTACATGCCTGAATCTAAACAAGCTGGTGAAATACAATTATCAACCATTGCTGCCAACAAGTCCAGATG